TGAGAAGCTTCTGGTTAGGGCAGAGGTTAGTTTTCCACATGCCTTGGTCTGAATTTCTAAGGTGCCGAGAAAGAAGTTCTTCTTTGCGTGGTTAGCTACTAAAGGAGTGATTTTGATGGCAGAGAATATTAGGAAATGAAAGGTTGTATGCATGAGCTGGTGTTTCCTTTTGTAAGGAGGCGGATGAGGATGTGGACCATATTCTGTTACATTGCAAATTAGCTACGTGGTTATGGAAGGATATCTTTACATGTTTGGTGTTTCTTGGGTAGTGCCAAGATCTGTGAAGGAGTTGATGTTCAGCTGGAAGAGTGGAGCAAGGAAAAGAAGACACAATGTTAGGAATGTTACTCCTCTTGCTTTGATGTGGGTCATTTGGAAGGAAATAAATAGGAGAGCTTTTGAAGGAGTGGAGATGAGCTTTGCTCATTTGAGGAGTAGTTTCTGATCCCTTTCATCAAAAGGAGTAGTCTCTGATCCCCTTGTTTTCTTTTGGTGCATCCATGCAGTTCCGGTTTGTATAAAGGACTGGGTGTCTTTGGAGAGAACCAAATTTTGTAGGTTTCTCCTATGTTGGTATACCACTTGTATACGGCCAAGTTGGCCTTGTTACTATTAACAAAATCTTTTACCTTATCAAAAAATAAAATCCATGTTGATTTTGGCAAATTCTCAAGAAAAACAAAGGCCAGGTCAAACACAATTCCCCAATTCTTGAGATAATTTATCTCCACTACTCAGAAACTCAAGCAAGATACAATGTAATCAAATATATTGGGCGTTGTCATACACCCTACTATTATAGTGATTATTTTATCAGCTTGAGTAATAGATGTATATCATTGGCAAAAAATTACATTAACACACATGTGAAAAGAAAACTTCTAATGATGAATTGACGAGCTAATTCCTTCATCTTCCTTATATGCCTAGTGCTCATGTTTCTAAGAACAACGGCACATGACACAACAAATAACGTAAATAATTCTATCAAAATGTTGGCAAAAGTTCATGTATACAAGCAGTATATCAAAAAGTAAAGAACGGTCACCAATAAGGTTACATGAAACAAGAACGCACCTTTCCTCATCATTTTCTTCACCTTCATTTACATGCATCAATTCATATCTCCAATACAAAATACAAGAAAGATCAAACACTTCTAGAAATAGAAAATTGTATCAAAATGAGCCGAATGAGACAATCGGGTAAATTTTTTCACCAGTTGAACTCATCGAGAGCTCCTTTGTGAGGCTTCTAATTCAATACCTAGGTCCTTCGTCTCTACTCTTACTTCCGTAAAAAGAGTCTAGTATTGGAAAATAGATCTTTATTAGGAATATCCACAAAAACCGGCTTATGAGATACTATTAATGAACTCTTTTTATCAAGCACGGTTTTCATTGATAATAACATAGATACTATTAATGAATTTAGCAAACAAGGCATACATATTGTATCAACTACCACTTGCTCATCGATTTTTTATTCCACTCAAAATGACACATTCTTCTCTAACCCAAGTGAGGCTTAGCAGTCAATAAAGTTGAAATCCATTTTGTCGCCCAGTAACAATAACTGTCTTGGCCACATTTAGGAAATATTTCCAAAGGGGTTTTGGCACATTACCGCAAAGATGTCCAAAAAGTTTCTCCACCGAATTTAGTACAATAAGGGTGAAAAACATGGGAGATCAGGATTCAAATCCTAGTAGGAGACACAAAGGACGATAAGTAGTTTCTTCTCATCTGCCTAAGTCTTTAAGCCTTAAACAAAATTACTCAATACTTGTGCTAAATGGAAATAACATGTACTCGATGGAATAGTCGAAGTAAAAGAAAGTTAGCCCGCGCACCAACATTATCAAAAAGTGAACTTTGTCTCCGTTTTTTCTTTTGCTTAACCATCTAGTATTCAAAACCCATTGGCATGATTAATACCAATCACCTCACATATGGCCTACTTAAAGGGGTAATGCTCCTTGCCAATAGTTTCTCTATTCCAGAACTCGATGTCAAGATCTCTAATTAAGGGTAGAGACATGTTCTTCTCAGTCATTACAAGCGTCTCTCGTGCCTTTTTGCTTTGATAGAGTAGAAAGGCCCTCCCTAACTTATCATGTAAGACGTGAAGTCATCAATGTCCCAACTTCCACCTCTTTATTACATTTGCTTGTTGCAATGACACCTGTGAATCCGCTACCAACTACTTCTACTATATACCAACATTTTTGTCTAGATTCATGGTCAAATATCAAGCCTATGGTTAGTAGATATTTGACATTCGTATGATGAAAACAATATTTATATTTTCAATAGTTAATGATTCTTTCTTTGTATGGGACTTTGTCTAGACTTCTGTTAATGTAGAATAGAAGAAAGAGAATGAATGTTCTAATCTTTATGATAGAGCCCACTAATCTGAGCATTCAATTTAGTACATAACTTATAATGTCTTAAAAGGGAGGTCAAACTACTTATAATAATTCCACTTTCATCCATCTTAAATTTCAAAGGGTAAAAAGGAGCTACAAACTCAACATGCTCTTACTTGATATGTGAAAATTTCACATTTTTACTCACTTCAATATTTTGTCAAACTACACATTCCTCTTTCCTTAAAGGTAAGTTAACAAATTGTTATATTCCACTTCTTGTCTTCTTCTGTCCTAATTTAACCACACAGTAAAAGACGGCTATTAACTCAACATGCTCGCAATTGATATGTAATAATCCACAAGTTCTACTCTCAATTTAGTTCATGCCAAATAAAAACTAGGCATTCAAATAGTAAGCTAGTGCTTGGAACACGAGCCTAACGTGGAAGTAAAGCTTGGTATGCAAGTCATCCCCAAGAAAGAAAGTTTCAAGTATCTTAGGTCTTTATTCCAAGAAAATGGAGAGATTGGTGATGATGTCACACATTGTATAGGTGCAGGATGGAGTAAATGGAGGCTCACCTCTAGAGTCATGTGCGACAAGAAGGTATCACTCAAATTTAAAGGTAAGTTATACCGGTGGCGGTTAGGCCAACTATGTTGTAGTGGGCGGAGCGTTAACTAGTTAAGAAATCCCATGTTTAGAAGATAGGGTTGCGGAAATGAGGATGTTAAGGTGGATATGTGGACATACTAAAAGGGATAAAATTAGGAATGAAGACATCCAGGACAAGGTAGGAGTAGCCTCCGTGGTGGACAAGATGAGAAGTGAGATAGAGATGATTCGAGAATGTGGAGAGGCCTAGTGAGGACGTGCGGAAAGTTGGTAATAATGGGTTCGAGGAAGTGTAAAGGTAGGCCGAAAAAGTATTGGGAGAGGTAATTAGACAAGTTATGGCGCATCTTCAACTCAGCGAGAACATGACCTTAAATAGGAGGATTTGGAGGTCGCAGATTAGGATAGAAGGTTAGTAGATAGTTGATTGTTGTCTTGCTTTCCTACGAGTTACGCTCGGTGGTAATTTGGCACCCCGTGTTTGTTTCTCCTTTAATACTAGTAGTATTAACTTTTTGGCGTAGTTCCTTATTCTACGATTTATGTTACTACCAATTGTGTCTTGTCGTTTGACTATTGCACTATTTTGTTGTTATTATTTATTTTCCTATATGCCATTTGATGTTTCCTCTAGTACTTGTTATATCTTTTCTCTTTTATATGTTCTTTGATATGCGTTACCGAGTTGGGAGTCTTTCCGGAAACAACCTCTCTATCTCTGTGAGATATGGGTAAAGTTTGTATATACTCTAACCCCAGACCCCACCTTGTGGGACTACACTGGGTATGTTATTGTTGTTGGACATGGGTTCCATTTTTACTATGCTCTTCCAATTTTTTCTACTAAACAAAGTACATTGTTTTAAATTGTGATTTGTGACCTTCGGCATCAAGATCCTTTGCATATTTATCTAGGGCGTCAAATAGTGAATCATCTTCTAGCCATTTTCTTCTATAATCTATTTTTTTATTGTATTACTTCATTTCACCCTTACATTCCTGCCGACATTGTAAGGTTTAGGAACAAGAGAAACGATCGGAATGGTAATCAACACCCGAAATATGTATGTCATTAGACTTGGACTAATCCAAGTCTAACCTAGGCAATCAACACCCAAAAAAATGAATATTTATGTGTTAGATGCAATACAACAACAAACAATCTCATACACTATAATATTTGTAGATATCTTCAACTCATCTGATCCAAAAATAAAAGCCCTTCCTTTTTCACTTATCCAAACCTTTGTCCACTTCTCCAAAAGAGAAACTTTTATCTACACTCTTTAATTCTTCTCCATTTCCACAAATATGTTTTCTTTTTAGTTAGTAAGCAAAAGTTTTCATTAACACATAATGAAAAACATGATTATTGATCAATAACCAAAAGATTTCCATTAACACCTTGTGAAAGTCGTGTAATGTAAAATCCTTTTATCTTCTTTGACGGGTATAGTGTGATCTACTTCATACTAAAATTAAAACTCAAACTCAAAACAAATCAATTAATTCTACTTCTAGACCTCCTTTTACTGAAACACGATTACAAGGAAATTTTTTAATCCTCTTTTTAACTAATTTTATGGAGTGGTCATAAATTTTGCATTAATTCCCATATTGCAATATTGTTTTTGAATATAGGGTGTGTTAGTTGGAAAATGGATCTTAGATTCTTTTTCATTAATATGTACATGATGTACGTAAAACGAGTCTGGATCTCATGATAGACTGATAAAGGGAATATTCTCGGTAGTTTGTGTCATACACATTGATTCATTATACAATGTTTCAAAAACAGTAATAACTAGGTTCCTCGGACTCTCCAAAAATGTTGCCGCACCCGTGTTGGATCCTTCGAAAATACACTATTTTTGGAGGATGTGACACACACCCATCGACATTTTTGAAGAGTGTAAGCAACATAGAGTAAAGGGTCTTAACATTTATTAACTTCTACGTGCTTTACTAGCTGAACTATGTATAAATGAAAGTTCATCGACATCACAGTTTCCAGTAAGGATGAGTCTGTAGTAAAGAAATCATGTTAGAACAGGTAAACATCTCCCTTCTAAAATTGTGCTTAAGTTGTAGGCGCATCAACTGCACAGAGTCAAGGGGTTTGATGCATGCATTAGCAAGGGTAAAGACACAATTACCCCTCAAAATCTTTTCCACATCCTTTTCGTTGTCCAAAGGGAGGCGGGTCACCGACAGATTTCTCAGTTATAAAAAAAAGGTATTTTTGTAAATAAATACTCCCTCCATCTCATTTTATGTGAGGTAGTTTGACTCGACACGGAGTTTAAGAAAGAAAAGAAGACTTTTAAAACTTGTGGTTCAAAATGAATGATAGAAATTTGTGTAGCTGTAAATCATTTCAGTAAGGGTAAAATAGACATTTTATAGTTAAATAGTTACTTAATATAGAAATGTGTCATTCTTTTTGGGATTGACTAAAAAGGAAAGTAAGTCTCATAAATTGGGACAGAGGGAATAATATTTTTTTTTAAATATGCAATGCATGTCGTTTTTAATACACCAAACTAAACACTGCATAAGCTCCGCATAACTAATGCAAGCATAACCAATATCAGTATTACTAATACACCTTATTTAGAATTATTCTTATACACTCTACCAAACGATCCCTAAATATACACTGCAGGTTTGAAAAGAACCCATTCCACATTGATGTTGCATTATATAACGAGAAAGAGAACTGACATACAGACTTTACACAAAGAAAACTTCCAATTTCTTTGTGGAGAACAAAAGATGGGCATCAGTTGTATATCGGCTACAACACTTCCAGAGTAGCTTGAGATGTTCGCAAACCTCTGAGAGACTAAAAGCATTAAATTTGTTCTTGAACTCCACATTACTTGACGCATTAGTCTCGACATATTCTAGTATTCTAGAAATATCCGGATGCAGTACTAATATAGAAGCTACTCATCTTTCTTGGAGTTCTGAAAGGATCTAGTAGTTTAAATATATCACAACTATTTAAGTGCACTTACATTTGAAGAAGCACATCCATTTGTCAATTCTGTGTTTGGCATGACGGAAAACACTTTCCAGGAAAATATCACCTTACATGGTAAATATGTTTTTTACCCAATAAATAGTGTCTCAGCAAACAAAGAGATGACTTCCCTTGCTTCTGGACAGAAGTCACTTTCCCACTTCTCCACACTAATACATTATTGTAAACCTTTATTAATACTCAGAAGTATCACCAAAACACTACCATAACACCTTATAGTCCACTTTTTACAACTCGTCTATGTCACCTACATATACCCAACCAAACAGTCCTAGTTGATCAAACATTTTCCTCTACATCAAACTGTGACCTAATTCAAAGATTTGTAATCTAAACCAATTCTTGTTTTTTTGAGTACAATGTTAATTGTTCAACGCATACCTTAAGCATAATAGGAACACATTTCCCTCTATTGCAGCTAAATTCATAATTGGATTAAGGCAATTGACATAGAAAAAAAATATAGACGATGAGGAAAATCAACACAAAACAATAACCCAACCATACCCAGAATCGATGGGAAAGGGTCTCCGCCGAAGCAGCTGAAGCTGAAGCACGGGATGCGGATTCATCAGGCACAGGATCCAAAAAATTTGGATCATCAGCACAGGTAGCTTCCGAAGAAAGCCGTAACGCCAAAGCTAACTGCAGCTGATAACTCTCCTCAGTCTGCTGTGCCCAGCTCTTAGAAGACGAGCCACCGAACAAATTAGCTTCCAACGGCTTCATCCTCACTTCAGCACCGCCACCGCCATCATTGAGATATCCAAACGACGCCTCCGCATTAGACAACGACGGCATGTAATACTCCCCGGAGATCGAACTCTCACCAAAGCTACTCCCACTTGATTGCCTCTGCAAGCCAATCGAACCTGGAAATGCCGCCGCACCGATCCGATTCGGCGCTTGCATCATATTACTACGGTGATCATTCAAATCCCAATCAAATCCTCTATTATCACCTGTTTTTCCTTTACCCTTCTCACCAGAATGAGACTCATAATACGGTGCTACTCCTCCACCGCCACCGCCAGTGACGGAGTATTTCGGTGGCGGAGGAAGGTAATTATCATCGGCAACTTGACTCAACAAAGTATAATTCGATCGTCGAGTAGACATTTCCATCTGAATAATTTATCAATTCAACAAAACCCTAGCTAGAAATTGTTCATTACACTATAAGTTCATCTCCCTCTCTCTCAAAGACTTTCTCTCACTAAAAGTTTTCTCTCTTCTCTTCTTCTTCTTCGTACTTGTCGAATGAGAAGTGAGAGAGAAAAAAGATGGGGGAAGTCTTGTTTTAGTCGTAATATTCCTGGAATTTTCGACTTTAAGTTACAAGTTTAACTTAATTATATTAACCTCCCCTCTACTTTATCATATTTCAAATTATTCCCTATGTAATGTCAAGAATTACTCTTAGAACCCATTTAGCCTTACTCACTTTCTTCCGTTTTCGATCGACCCAAAAATGCTTATAAGCGGAAAAATCATGAGTTGGAGATGATGAACTTGTGACTTTTGATTAATTTGAGCTTATAAGCAAGTAAGCACTTGACTTATAAGCATATCGGGTATTTATCAAATGCGTAAACATGTCAAAAAATATATACGGTTTATGTTAGTTTGATCAGTTTATAAACTTAGCAAACACCTTTTTAATTAAATATTGATATGTAAATTGAAACAACGTATTGGGCCTAAGTGTAATTTAAGAAACAAGTGGATGTGTTTTGAATTATGTAAAAGTTGAAGGATTAGTCTTTGTTGTGAGGAGTTTCAAATGGGATTGTTTGTAGGTGAAACGGTGGATCTTGATTTGTTGTGATGAATTCAAATGAGTTTGTTCATAATTTTGGACTTTTTATTTGTTTTTTTGCTTTCTTACTTAATTTGGAAAAAAGGTTGGCTTTTTGTGTTGAGTTCATAGGAACGGTTACAAGAGGTGAGAAGGATTTTTTGGCTTTTTGACACGCTCTTGATGGGTAAAAGACATGTGTTGATAAAGTTAAATAAATTTTTAATACTTCAAAAAATCAAGAATAGAGATAGAAGCTTGTAAACGATTCATTGAATTGTATGTGTTTATATATATTATATAAGAATTCTAGTAAATATAACTAGTTGTGAATTCAATTGTTATTGTAGTATTGATTTGAAGTCTATCTAAATTCATAAATGTCAAGTTATGAATCTAATTTTGTCCAAAATATGTTATAATACTAGCATTATTTAAAAATATTCAATTAGGGGTCGTTTGAATCAAATACATATTATGCATTATTGTCTAATATAAAAATGGTACTTAAAGCCTTATTCATAACATGTATTTATATCAAATTAATTCAATTTACTGTTCTTGTGTGATTTAGTGAATTACTAGTAATGTACATTTATAAAATGTGGCAAAGTAATAGAAGTAAATATGTGAATACATGGCATGCATTAGTTAATTTCACGCCGGAAATTAGTGATTTTTAATAGTGAATTAACTCAAATTCATATCAAGATGTCCAATAAAGGAAAAAATATTGCTTTTCATGTCTAAAACTCAAGTTTTTTAATTAAAAACGAATTAGTCATATTTATTCCATCATAATTCTCGATTGTTTTTAATAGTCGGTTATGGATAGTTGTTAGATGGAATAGTGTTGAATGAAAATAAATGACCAAAAAAAGTTGTTTTGCGTAGCAATATGAAATTCCCTTCATATAATTAGTGGTACTCTTCATGCAATTCTCCTTAGTTAATTGTTTTGATAGTCAAAAAATTATTACGAATATATTAGAACATATAACTTCAAAGTTTAGTATAGTACAATATTTATAAGACGAACTAACAAATGTAGCATTGTAGATTATATGTATGGACTAATAGATCTACAAAAATCACAATTAATATTTTTTGGATGAAAAAAAATAATCGTCAATCTATTAGTTCTTCTTATGAACTGTTTGTTTATAAGCTTGATAAAAGATATATATTGATCGTCAATAATATTATAACTTAAAGAGTTTGTTTGGTAGCTTGTTAGATTTATACATGTATCTCTATTAATAATGTAAGAATTATTTGCGAGGGAATTTATATATATATATATATATATATTAGTATAACTTACATAAATACCATAGTGTAAAATCTGAATTACCTTCTATCCCTATTATTTTTGTAATTACATAAATTCCATATTTTTTAGGCATTTCGGATATACGTAATTAAGGATCCGAATACATTATTGTTGATACATTATGTGTCAATCTGTTGCATTTATTAAGGGAAAAAAAAATTGAAAAATCAAATTAAAATCTCATAGTATCCATTGTTGCACTAATTAAGGGGGGGGGGGGGGGGGGGGAAGCTGAAAATCAAATTAAGATCCCATAAATTAGGTTATTCCATTCCAAATTATTGTCAAGAATTCAAAATATTACAGTGTAACAAACCAAAAAATTCAAAAATTAAATTTCTTCTTCTTGTTCATCGTTCTCTCTATTTCATAAAAACTTTTGTCAAAATTTTGGATAAGTGAGGTGAGTTATGAAGAATACAAAAGTGATGGAATTGTTGTTGGACAAACGATTTGTTTTGTGAATCTTCAAGTTCATCGAATATCCTTTCGCTTTGATTCAAGATTGTCGAAAAATTTGAGATTCAAAATTCTTTTCCAGTTCATTGAAGATCCTTTCCGTTTTGATTCAAATTTGTTAAAAATTTTGAGTTTCAAAATTATTCTCCTAGTTCATTGAAGATTCTTTCAATTTTGATTCAAAATTATCAAATTTTTTGAGAAGATACATCATGAAGATCCTTTCAATTTAAATTGAAAAGTGTTGTATTTCTGCTAGATACATTAAATAAGAAAGTGTTGCCCATAAGATTTTAGGTTTGAGACCGATACATTATTATTTGATAATTGTTATGTATCAGATACATTTAGTATAAATTCAAATTTACATATCATAACTAAA